CTCTGCATAAGCCTCCCCTGCCAGTGCATAGCCTCTCCATCATCGAGACTCCTGCAGTGCCTCTTTGTGGCCTCCCATGGAAACTGGGTACGTTGCGATTCCAGGCTAAACTGTGGGGGATCTCGGAGCAGCAGGAGGCCCTAGAGGTTCAGGGTCATGGCCTACCAGTGTGTGGACATGCCCTGGCCCTGTACCAACTCCTGCCCCTAGGCACCCTGGGGTTAATGGGAGGCTCGGGGGAGGTGGGCCTTGCTAGTCCTCCTCCCTCAGATAAAAAAAACCATCGGTAGTGATCAATTTATTTGGAAATGCTGGGAGGAGGGGAAATGCTCCTCCCACCCAGCAAGAGAGGCGGGCTGTGGGTCCCGCTGGGAGGGCGACTGCTGGGACGCAGAATGGGAGTGAGAACTACTTGTCCCGTCTGCGTTCTGGCAGTCGCCAGCCCGGAGTGAAACTTACGGGGAACCCCGTAGGTGGATGATGGGTCCCACAGCCTGCCGCCCCCTTTCATATGGAACAGGGTCGGCGAGGGTGGCAGAGGTGGCGTCCACCCGGAGCGACTGCCCGAGGCTAAACCTCAGGCGGGAAGTCAGGCTGTGTACGCTCCTACCGATGTTTGTAAACTTGATGTGAAAGAGATGTTTTACGCCAAACTAGCATCTCTGTCAGACAGGTGTCCCAGTGAGATATTTGTGTTGTTCTGGGTGACTTCAATGTGGTATCTACCTGTGATCAAGCTGGCTATGAGATGTCTGTCGGTCCCCATGGTTCAGGAGCTGATACCGGCAGCGAGAATAGCCTCCTTTTTCGGGACTTTGCTAGGTCCCAGAAAGTGAAGATTTCTGGCTCCTGGTACCAGCATCCAGACCCATATCGCTGGACATGGTACAGCGATGCAGGTAATGCAGCCAAGGAGATTGACCACATACTCGTTAGTACTCGTTGGAGGATCCTCCAGAATGGCAGGGTGTATAGGAGTGACAAGTTTTGTGGTACTGACCATAGATTGGTTATGGCTACCCTCCGGGCCCATTTCAAAACTCCCCAGCAGTCCAATGATCACCCTAGGGTGTTTCACTTGGAGAAGCTGAAGGAGGGGGTGTGCCCAGGGGTTTGCTGAGGCAATCTCTGGGCAATTCGCAGTGCTCGACAATCTGACGGACCCTGTATTTCTGTGGGACACCTTCAAGTGTGAATCGCTTGCATCAAGTAACGATTGGTGAATGCCCGAGAGCAAGACGAAATTTCGTCCTGCAAGAGATACTGGATGCCACAGATGCTTGTGCGGCTTGTCTGACAGGGGATCAGGATTTGCATAGTTCTCAGGTGCGCAGAACGCAGTCACTGAGGGACAAGGAACAGTTTATTGTCTTGCAAAGGAGGTAGAAGGCCATTTACTAGTAAATGACCTTCGTCCTGCATACCAAGCCCTGAGAAAGCTGAACTCCAAGCCCTCTTCACAGCTGACAGCAGTTCGCTTTGTAAGTGGCCAGATCATCTCAGATCCTGTTGCAGGTGGTGGAACGTTGGGCTGAGGTAGATTTGAGGAAGTGTGTACCAGGTTGGACCCACAAACAGTTAGGGCTGTAGTGCCGAGATTCCGTGCTTGGACCCAGCCGGGTATGCTCCCTTTGCCGGAACTGAGTTAGGTGGGAGTGATCTCAAGGGCTGGAGTAGTGAGGAAAAAGCACAGGTATATGCGAAGGAACTCCCAGTTGAACTGAACTATGGCGTGCTGGCATTGGCAGGTAGCTGTCCTGGCTGTCGGTGGACTGTTCCCCTCTGGGAAGGGGGGAAAAGGAGGGGAGAGAGAGGACTGGGGAGTCTGGAATCTGGAGGGAGGAGGAGAGGGGAGAGAGGAAGGGGAATGTGGACATGGGGACTGTGGTCATTTCCTCTCTGGAAGGGNCGAGAGGGAGAGGGAGAGAGAGAGAGAGAGAGAGATGGGATGGGGTGAGGGTTGGGATAGGCTAAAGTCTTTTTGTATTTTTGTTTTAATATGTTTTCTCCTGGATCTATATATTCAATTTGCAGTTTATTCATATTTTCTTCAGTGCCACCATAATGAAAAAATAGCTTGATAAATTCAAGTGATAAAGAAGGAGGAAATGTTATTTTGTGATAAAATCAGGTCTGTTTTTGGTGTACATGTGACTCACCTCAGGATATAATCCTGTATGTTTGAGAATAAAATCTGGCATCCATGTTTGTACAGCAGCACAGCAATAGTCAATTATTCCAAGATTTTTCTTTTTTTCTAGAAAATATGCAGTCTATGTTAGAAATCAAGAAGTAAACAATTTCTAAAGAAATCCCACTTGATAAAAACAAAATCATTTAGTTGATATAACAGATGTTGATATTATTTAGGTAAAATTTCATATCCAGATGGAGTGTCCATTTGAATATCCATGAAGACTGACTGATTTCAAGGTTTAAAAATGCTTTTTTTCAAAAGCAAGAAAAGGCTAAAGCTCATCATGATTGCATTAATATAACCTTTGCAAATAGTTTCTCTGTTTATTTATATTATTGAAATAACCAATCCTTCATATATACAGTTACTATATAATATAAATGTACATCCTTGCCCCGGTCATCAGAATTACAGACATCACATCATTACATCACAAAATTCTCAATGCACACTGCCACAGCAAATGTTGGAGGGCAGCTGCAAGACCCTTTTAAAGTAGATAAAATGCAATTATATGAAACACTTTAGAAATAATACAATGAAATATACACTAAAGTGAAATTAAAGAGCTGTCTGCATCTTTTTTCAAGTAATATAATGGA